TCTTAAAATATATAAAAAAAAGATATTTAATAATAAAAATAAAGTATTTAATCATTTATAAAAATTAGAAAATAATAATAATTTTAAATAATGAATAAATAAAAGTATTAGTTAATTTATTTTTATAGATTTTAATATTTATTTATATATTTTTTTTACAAATTCTCTTATATAAACTATATATATTAGTTATATATTTTCATTTTTTATATTAAATTTCTATTTTTTTTTTATATATATATATAATTAATTTAGTTTAATTTAATTATATTTTATGGTTTTTTTTAATTTAATTTATATAAATTTAGTTTAACAAAAAAACTAAAACTAAAAATAAACATAAAAATATTTAATTTTTATTATTTATAATATAAAATAATATTTTTTTAAATTTGTTCTATTAATTAAGATATTAAAAAACTAAATTTTTATATAAAAATAACAAATGATATTTAATTATATATATATATATATATATAACATAATAAATAAATAAAACTCTTTTATATAATAAAGTAATTTAGAAATTGAGTTTATTTAATAAAAAAATACAATATTTTTAATAAAAATAAATATAGAAATCAAATTAAATATCTTTATTTCAAATAAATACGAAAATTTAATAAAAATTAAATTAGAAAAATTTAATAATAAGGATATATATATATAATTTCAAGTTTTAATTTATTCATTAGAACATTAATTAGAAATTCTATAATTTAATTAGTTTTAAATAATTTTATTTAATCTTAAAGAATGTGTTAATCGTCTACCAAATTATTTTTCACATTTAATTTTTAATTAAGAGTTTATTTAAACTTAAGTTAAATTGATTGTTTTTTATATTTTTTAGTAAGAATATTTATAAGGACTTTAAATTTTTGCTAAATTACTTAAACTAATATATAAATCAGTTTTATTTTTATTTAATTTAATTAAACTATTTCTTTTTTTAAATAAAAATTGTTTAAATGCATTAACTATTCGAAATTTTATACTTATTTACTATTTTTTGGCGTATTTTTTTTATCAAATTAAAATATTTTATAAATCTAATTGAATGAACTTTTAAAATATTTATTTATTTCAGGTTTTATTATATATTTTAAATTAGTTAAACTTGATTCAGAATATTTTTTATTATGAGATTATTTAATTTTTAAATATCTTTTTTTTGTATTATTATCTTATAATAAGTCATTATTCATTTAAATTATATTTAACTAACAATCTTTTTTATTAATTATTTATTATTAATCTTTATTTTTTTTAGGTTCTTATATATGATTTTCCATTTAATCTAAATGTAAACTCCTAACTATCATTTATTTAGTTTAAAATTAAGTTAATTCTTAGTTTCTTTAATTATACCATTCAATTTTTTTTAAATGAGCATTAAAAAATTATTAATAAATTTATTAGTTTTTTAGTACTTAAATAAATTTCTTTTTTATTTATATTTTAAACCGTATTATATATTGTAATTAATGTATATATTTTTTTTACGTTTAATTCAATTTTATACACTTTGCATTCTAAAGAATAACAAATAGCCTGAAAATTGTGCTTTTTAAAAAAATGCTCCTCGTCTCCAAAATAATTATTTTGTGAAATAATAGATATTTCAAGATTTTTTAATATTAAATTTTAGTTTTCATTATTTGATAAAGGTATTTTTTCTTAAAAATAATTCCTTTTATAAACATTCTAAGTTAATATTTAATTATTTATAGCTACTTCTCCTTCTTTTATTAAATATATGTGTTAAATAAGTTCTCCTTTATTATATATAATTTAGTTTTTTTAATATTTTTCTAAAACCATTTATTATTGTATATATATTAATAATTAATTAGAAAAATTTTTAAAAAGTTCTAAATTTGCAAAAAAATCTATTTATTATCTTTAAATAGATTATTTATATTTAAAAACTAAAAATTCATAATCATTACGTGAAATACTTAAAAATTCACAATTATAATAACAAATGAAAATAGAATTTCTGTAAAAAATAATGAATAAAATAATATATAACATAAAATAAAATATATGTAATAAACATATGTTCATATATAAATATGTATATATATATTTTTATATATATATAAATATATATTGTATTTTTAAAAAATATATCTTCTTCTTATTTTTTTAATAAATATAGTATATAAAATTAATTATGTTTTTTTTTATTTAAAAAAAACATGAACAAAATATTATTTTAAATAATACAATTTAATAATATATTTTTATTTAATAATATAAAAATATTTACATATGCACATACATACAGATATAAACATATATAATTAAATATAAAATATTTCATATATTTATAAATATATATTTATAATATATATATATAAATATATATATATATATATATAATTTTAAATTTATATATTATATATATTTATTAATAATATTAATTTTTTTAATACTTATAAATATAAAAAAGATTAATTTTTTTTTTTTAATCTTTACATAATCTTTTTTTTATATATTTAAAATTAAAAAATTATAAAAAAAAAAATTATATATATTTTTAATAGATTTTATATTTATTCCAAATTTTTTTTTTTTTATTAATATAAATTATTTACAATAAAGATATTATAAATTTTATTATAGTCTTTTTTTATTTTATATTAATTATTAAAATTAAATTAACTAATAAAGAAATTTATCTTATAAATTTTACGTAAATTGTTAGTTTTAAGTAAAATCACAACCAAAACAATCTCCAGGAAAGTATGTTTACATTATTTTTTATTGTTGTCCTTAAATAAAAGTGGATTATGATCTTTATTTTGTAAAAATTTTTTTAATATTATAAATTATTGTTGGAGATTTGATAAATAATTATGGTTATTAATTTTAATATTATATTTCTTTTACAATTCCTTATATATAAAATTAATTTTTTTTATTATTTTAAAAATTAATTAAAATAAATATAAAACCTCGAATTATTATATATAGAGTATTTATTGGTTATCCTATTTCATATATTATTTTATTAGAAGAAAATTCTTTGTATTATATTTTATTACATATATCTTTTTTTAATAATTAAGGAGCTTTTTAAAAATAATTAACGTTTTAAAATGCTTTCATTAAAAATACTTTTTCATTATTATTTTTGTATTTTTTTTTACAATATTTATTATAATCTTTATTTTATAATTTTTTAATCTATTTTATTGGTTAAAAAAAATACTTATTGGTTTTCTTTATCTGATATATAAACATCTTTTTTTATAATATTCTAAAAAATGAACTTTTTTCGAGTATTAATTAATCTATTAATTAGTTAATCACATCGTTATTTAAAAAAGAAATTGCAAACTTAGCTAATAATAATTTTGCGTAATCTTGTTTATTTTATTATTACATACTTTATTTTTTATGCAATTTAAAAAAAAAAGAGTATGTTATATATTAATTATAAAAGATATATTATGAATTTAATAGATATTTTTTTTTAATGTTAAATAATAATAATATTTAATATTCGAATTTTATTTAAACATTATAAATATTATAAAAATTTTTATTAAAAAAATAATATAAAATATAAAATGAAATAATATAAATATAAATATAAATATAAATAGAAAATAAATATATAAAATATACAAAAAAATTTAAATTTAATAAGTAAAATATTTTTATAATATTATATTTATAAATAATTTAAAAATAAATTTAAACATATTACTAAATATATAATTTATATATAAAT